GAATTACAGCAGACTCTTCCTCAGAAATAATGCAAGCCTAAAGACAGTAGAGCAAAATATTCAAGGTACAGAAAAAAAAATGTCAACTTATAATTTGAAACTATCTTTCAATAACGTATGTGACAATGGGAAAAGAAAAGTCTTTTCAATAAAAGAAGCCTTTTCAATAAGCACAGGAATAACTTCAGTCCACATGTGAAAGAATGAAGTTGGGACACTTACCTCACACCATATACAAACACAGACTCAAAATGGATCAAAAACCTAAATATAATAGCTAAACTATAAAGCTCTTGGGAAAAAACATAGGGATAAATCTTCATGACTTTTGATTTGGCAACGGTTTCTTAGCACAAAGCAACCAAAATATAAGTCAATAAATAAATTGGACTTCCTCAAAATGAAAACTTTTCTGTATCAAAGGACACTATCAAGAAAGTTAAAAGACAATCCATAGAATGGCAGAAAATATTTGCAAATCATATATCAAATGAAGGTCTAGTATCCAGAATATGTAAAGAACTCTTCCAAGTCAACAATAAAAAGACAACCCAAATAAAAAGTGGGCAAAAAGGCTTGTGTAAGAGACATTTCTCCAAAGATACACATATGGCCAGAAAGCACACCAAAAGATGCTTGACATCATTAGTTTTTAGTTTTTAGGGGAAAAACAATGAGATTCCACTTCACATTCACTAGGATGGATATACATATATCATATCCATCCTAGTGAATATCCATCACATATATATATATACAAATATATATACACATATATATGTATATATATACGTATATATGTATATATATATATATATCTCCCACTATATATATATATAAAGGGAATCCACTATATATCCACTATACATATAAAGGGAAAATAATAGGTGTTGGCAAAAATGTGGAGAAATTGGAACGCTCACTTCATACACTGCTGGTGAGAATGTAAAACGGGCAATCACAGTGGAAGCAGTCTGGTGGTTCCTCAATAAGTTAAGCATAGAAATGCCATATGACCAAGCAATTCCATTCCTAAGTATATACCCAGGAGAATTAAAAATGGGTGTTCAGGGGCGCCCGGGTGGCTCAGTTGGGTAAGCGTCTGACTTTTGATCTTGGCTCAGGTCACGATCTCACAGTTTGTGAGATCGAGCCCCACATCTGGCTCTGCGCTGACAGCATGGAGCCTGCTTGGGATTTTTCTGTCCCTCTCTGCCCCTCCCCTGCTCGCACTCTCTCTCTCAAAATAAATACACATTCCAAAAAATTAAAAAAAAAATAGGTGTTAGAAAAAACTTGTACACACACATTCATAGTACCACTATTACTATTCATAATAGTCAAAAGATAGCAACACAAAAGTATATCAATGGATGAATGGATAAACAAAATATGGCAGATCAATACAATAGAATAGTATTCAGCCATAAAAAGGAATGAAGTACTGATACATACTACAATATGGATGAATCTTGAAAACATTATGCTAAGTGAAAGAAGCCAGGCACAAAAGGCCACATACTGCATGACTACTTTTATGTGAAAATTTCAGAATAAGCAAATCCATTGAGACAGAAAGTTGATTAGTGGTTACCAGGGACTCCGGGTAGGGGGGAGGAATGGGGAGTGTCTGCTTAAATGGATACAAGATTTCCTTTTGGAGTGATGAAAGCCTTCTGGAACTAGATAGTGGTAGTGATTGCACAGCACCATAAATATTCTAAATGTCACTGAAACATACATTTTAAAAGGTCAAACTGGTGAATTTTGTTATGTGAACTTCGTCCCAATAAAAAAAGCAACTACCATTGAAGTCTATTCTTTTATTCACCTATCAAACCGTTGTTGAACAATGCCAGGCAAGCTTTAATCTGGATGCGGGGAATTCGGAGACTAATTAAATGTGGTTTGGCTCTTGGGGAGCCAAAGCCGGTAAGGTAACGGAGGAAAAACATTCTGCAAACAATTCAGTTCTTAATTAAGTGTTAAAGTTTCCTTGACCTAAGGATGTGTATATACACAGTGTGGTGGCTGCTTTCCCATTGCAGAGAACACCAAGGATAAGGTTAAGGCTTGAGTTGCTGAGTAGGAGTTTGCTGGGTGGATGGGGGGGGGGGGGGGGGGGCCACCCCCAGGCAGGGGGCGGGATCTGTGGAAGCTCAAAAAGCTGGGGTCCAAAAGCCTCCGGTTTTCAGTACACTTTAAACCATACAGCACGTGTGCGGGCAGTGTGGAGGATGGACTTCAGGATAGTGAGGTGACAGGTTGGTAACTGCCTTCATCTGGTTGCAGTAGGTGATGCCAAGAAATGTTAGGGGAATGACATGGACCTCACTGAATGTGAGGGTCCAAGAAAGTAGGACTCCAAGATCGGGCCGCTTGGTGGGTGGTGAATCCGCAGGTCCCTAAAGTTGGTCTGCAAGACTTTCTGTTCTCAGAGCACATCAAACCAGATTCACACCCCTCTCCCCCATCGTATATATTCTACTTTTTTAATGATTTTTTTTTTTTTGCATTTTAAACCTACTTCCCTTTTCCTTAGGCTTCCTCTGTTTTCCTGTTCGAAATATGCGTTACTATGGAAATGTCATGGCACAGTATAGTGGCATTTACAAGTGAAGTGTAAAGAATTTTCAGAACATCTCGAAACGCACCAAGTCTATGGTTTAGGAATATAAACCCTAATGATGTGAGAGCATTCACGCCTTCAGACACTGTGTCATAAATATAAACACACCCGGAAATTTGAGACGGCAGAGAGGAGATAGCTGAGAACTTTATTAGGATTTACGTGTCCAGATTTAAAAAACGTGTATGAGAAATATTAAAAACATAAAACCCAACAGACTACTTGAAAAGGACATCTGGAAAAAATGAATGACAGAATGCCAGCATTTACTTGTGAATACACACCTCTGGTAGAAGGACCAGAGGGCCTGGACACCCCAAGGAAACTTAAAAAAACCTTTGTCCTACTTCTGTGCTATAAATATGTTCCTTAAAAATTGCATATAAATCAACGGTTGGTAAATCATATATTTATCAAACATAAGGTTGACTGCTGTTTTAAAGATACCTTCACAATGTACACATCAGTAAAGGCAATTATTACCAATGGAGTAATGGAAAAAAACTCGCTGCACTGAGTGAAATTCAAGGTCCTTCATTATTATCCTGGCTCTGCCACCAGCTGGATGTGTGATTCAAGAAAATCACTCAACCTCCCTGGGCCAATTTCCTCATCGAATCTGATTTGTGGTTCAATGGATTCCTCATTGAATCTGAGTTGTGATTCTGAATTTTCTCTTAGTAGGTTCCTAGAGCAAGGTATAGGGGTACTGGCCTCCAGCCAAACATCTAGTTTCTTCTGAGAGACAATACCTCACACTGAATCCTGGGGATCGTACAGCCAGCAGGCCACTTACCACTGTTCTGTGTATTTTGTCTCTCTGTACCCCACTTTCTCATTCCTACAATCACCCTGTGTATGATCATCCTAACTTTTTGCCCCAAATTCTGTGTAAAAGCTTGTTCCTTACAGTCGTCCTCTGGAAAAGACTGACAGTTGAAGGTGGGAGCCCATTCTCAGTGGTCTCTCCACCTCTGGCCCTGTCTCCATGCCACGAGGCCGGGCACAGCCTCAGGGCAAGGGCTGTACCCTCTGTGCCTACCACCGGCCCAGACCTGAAGAAGAAATTCAGTAAATGAATGGATGTTTCTGGAGGAGGAAGATGAGCCAGGGAAATGGGTCTGGTGAAGTACCTGAACCCCTAGGGGTGAACTTTTGGCTGCTATTTTCCAACATTCCTTGAACCTTCCAAAATTTCCACAATGGGGCAGAAATATAAACATACCACAAGCATTAAACCCGCCTTTTCCTGGCTTTTTGTCAATGCCCTGGTATCCCATAAATAACGCAAACTTTGCCTGGCTCACCAGTACTGGGAACAGGGCATAGGGCACACAGCTTTAACAGAAACAGCCATTGTGGTCTGTGCATCTGTTTTACTTAAACAGCAATGACACCCCCGCATTTGTCTTGGTGGGCCTAACACCTGCCATCTAGCCCAAGGCAAAGACCCCTGCCAACTGGCTTCAGAAAAGGCCATTTATCAACAGTGTTTAGGCACCACCTTGATTAATCTGCCATGCAGGAAGTACAAAACAAAACTGTAGGAATTCTTTGTCTTCTTAAGCAAAAACAGGTTTAGGCCTTATTAACTGGCAAGAGCTAGAAGGCAGAGTCAGGATTTTTGCCGATTACTACCATGTTGTAGAGTAATTCAAGAGCCATTAGGAAGACTAAAGAAGCAAAGGAAGAGGTGCCTGGGTGGCTCAGTTGGTTGAGTGTCTGACTCTTGATTTTGGCTCAGGTCATGATCTCAGGGTCATGGGGTCAAGCCAAGTTGAGCCCACCACCCCCCTCTGGTGCTGAGCCTGCTTAAGATTCTTCTCTCTCTCCCTCTACCCCTCTCCCTTGCTTGCACTCTCTTTCTTTCTAAAAACAAAAGCAAACAAAAAACAAAACAAACAAAGGAAATCACTATCTACTTAGTACTACATGCCAAGTCTTGTGTTGGGCATCACCTACGTTATTTAATGTCAGCTTCACATCTAATCATCACTATCTAACATGCTATACTCTTGCTCTTAAATGTATGCTCAGAAGGAGGAACATTCTTTTGTCTCATTTATTGCTATATCTTTAGAGTCTAGGACAGTGTCAAATACACATAAGCAGTCAATAAATATTTGTTGAATGAACAAAACAAACAAGTCCATGAGATAAGTGTTATTATTCTCCTTTCACAGATGAGTAAACTAGAATGCTCCAAGGGTGCAAATGAATTGCCCAAAGTCACGTGGTCTATTAAGGAGCCAGAATTAACACCCATGTTTCACTCTTCTGTTCTTTCTACAGACCAACACTTACACTTCAATATTAAAGAACTCTCTCAGCTTGGCAAATCCATAATTTATATGCCTATAGAAGATGTACGTACTCAACTGAAAGTTTGAAATTTTACTGAGATGTTTGGCATTTTAATGATAAACGTTTTGCTACAGCAACAATGGAGGACACATTTTCCCAACATAACAGTCGCATTTATGGATAGGCATTATCTATATCATTTCTCACTTTAAAATCCTGTAACACGATTACTCTGAAGACATAGATAAAAAGCACAGCAATTCCAGATTCCACCAAAATAACATTTGCAAGCTTTAGTTTTGTAAGTTACAACATTACGATGACTCATGATATGCTGTGGGATTCCCAGTTTGGAATGCCAAATATTTCCATGTGCATCCAGGTTGCTGGAGCATCCCGGTATGGGAGGAGGCAGGCTTGGCACATCAATAGGCATTTCTATCCTAAAAAAATGATATGGGAGGCTCAAGGATTCTTCAGAGAATCAACTGTAATAAAATCCATCTTGAGAATATTCACTTTGTCTGAGAGAATGCGAGAATGAGGTTAATTTTGCTCAGGAGAGTATTCCGTATCCTTTCCCATTGGCAGAACATACCTGATCCATTCGTGCTTTTACTTACCTGGGATTACATAACATGGTACCTTCTCGTACCACTTTGCCTTTTTTGTAGGGATCCTGGTCACCTGCCTTTCCTCTCGGGCAGGCCCTTTTCCCTTCTGTCCCACTCTTGCTACCCGCAACGCGATGGCATACAGCCTCCGTATCCACCCAGACAGTTCATTATTCATGGACCAAACTAGCGGTTTGGCCTGCACTGTCTTCCATCGCCACCTTTTGGTGCTACTGTCTTATTCTGATAAAAGTAATAACATTCAGGGGCGCCTGGGTGGCGCAGTCGGTTAAGCGTCCGACTTCAGCCAGGTCACGATCTTGCGGTCCGTGAGTTCCAGCCCCGCGTCGGGCTCTGGGCTGGTGGCTCGGAGCCTGGAGCCTGTTTCCGATTCTGTGTCTCCCTCTCTCTCTGCCCCTCCCCCGTTCATGCTCTGTCTCTCTCTCTGTCCCAAAAATAAATAAAAACGTTGGAAAAAAAAATTAAAAAAAAAAAGTAATAACATTCGGACAAATGTTGTTTAAAAGAGAAGAAATGGAAAATTAAAAAAAAAAAAAACAAACGTATAACCCGACCACACAGAGTTGGCATACCCGTTCTAGTCATTTAAGAGACTGAGCCTGGGTGGCTCAGCCAGTTAAGTGACTGGCTTCAACTCAGGTCATGATCTCACTGTTTGTGGGTTCGAGCCCTGAACTGGGGCTCCGTGCTGACAGTGCAGAGCCTGCTGGGGATTCTCTCTCGCTCTCCCGCTTTCTCTGTCACTCCCCGACTTGTGCTTTCTCTCTCTCTCTCTCTCTCTCTCAAAATAAGTAAACTTTTAAAAAAAAGAGACAATTTTGGATTTATATATACTATTTTGTATAACACCCTTTTCACTTAATATAAGCATTTCGCCATGGTGTTTTAACTGTTCATAAACGTTAATTATAATGACTGCATAATAGTCTATTGTATGGTCATACTGTAATTTATTTAACCAATTTTCTACTGTTGGACTTCTGGGTTGTTAAGCATAAATTCTGCCCACATTTTAGACTATTTCTTTAGGACAGAGTCCCAGAAGTGGAATTAGAGGATCAGGAGATATAAACATTTTTAAAGCTCCTGATAGATACTGCCAAATTGCTTTTCAGAAAGCTGTTGCCAATTTACACTTCCAACACTGCCAGCATGTTTTCCTACCAATACAGATCTGTCTAAAGGATAATAAAATCTAAGTGGAACATACAGTCCTCAAATTATTCACGCAGTTGGAGAGGATTCACGACTGCAGCACAGAGACTTATGGCAAAGGTCATACTTATTTTCAGGTATGCAATTAACAATAAGTTAGTGTGGGCACATGGAAGAGAAGTTCTACCCGGGTGAAGAGTAATATAATTAGATTTTAGACTGTCAGATCTAAGGCGTGTGTCTGCTTTCTCCATTGCTGCACCTCAGCAAACAGGACAGTGCCTGGGACATATAGTCGCTTGACAAAAATTTTTGGAATTAACACAGAACCTTCTCTCAGATGCAACTATTCAGCAGCTGTAGTATTTCGTCACTCCAGGATTCGAGAAAAACTTGACTTGCTGGATTAAATACTTTTGTAAACATCTGTTCAATCCTGAAATTCTATCTCAATTTTGGGAAACCAGTTTAAATAAAGGTGACACAATACGGCTCTCTTTAGGGGAAAAGCAAGTAAAACAAGGGTACACCCTTGGCCCCAGCATGCGCTGAATCGTGAGTGTTGTCGCTTCCACAGTAGTCACTTTCATAGGTAAGAACATAAACTCATTCAAATGCTGCCCATGGCCAAGGCAATTTGGGAACCACCTTCAGCTCCTTGTTATCACTGGTTGCAACTTGGAACCATTTGCAGCATCGCCAAAATTGTTTCTGAGATATGATAAGGGCATAATATAGGTAGTAGTTTGTGTAACATCACTTTTAGTCAAAAACAGCATAGAACTTATTTTGTGAAACAGAATGTGGTTACGATAAACAGTCCATCATTCAGGTGTAGTTCACTCTCCTGGCATCATAAAGATTCCCTTCAATATTCTACAGTTTCCGTACAGTAAGTTGTCAGACACTGGTGGATCAATATGGCATTAACATTATCGATGGAAGAGGATCAGTCATCTGTCATTTTATATACACACTTTACATACATTGGACCAGGGGCAGGCAAACTACGGTCCATGGGCCAAGCCTGGCCCATCATCTGCTTTTCTATGGTGTATAAGCTAAGAAGTCTAAAAATGTTTTTTTACATTTTTAAATGGTTGAACAAAATCAAAATAGTATTTTGTAACACGTGAAATTCAAATTACAGTATCCATAAAGTTTTATTAGGACACGGCTATGTTCACCTACTTCCGTATTAGCTATATCTGCTTTTGCAATAAAATGCTGAGCAGTTACAACACAGACTGGATGGCCCACAAATCCTAAGACATTTCCTTTACAGAAAAAGTTTTTGTTGACCCCTTTACGAGATCCAAGGGTTGTTGGAAGTATCAAAGTCCCCCACTATAGCTTTTTTATTTCTAGATATTAATACTGGAGAAGGGTGATGCAACCGGTAAGTGTTTGCAAGGATCTGATACGGCAGACTAGAGAAGAGAAATACACGAGGGTTGCCTTGGATAGTGTGTAAAGCCTGGTAAAATCTGAGAGGTCTGATCTAACCAAGAAGCAGTTGGAGAACACAGGGTTACATATACAGTTCCAGCAGCAAAGGAACCTCTTGCTAATTGAGCCACGTGAGACCCTGGTGAGACCCAATCCCAAGGACCTAGAGGTGAAGTGGTCTGCAAATAGCAGGCTGGCTGAGCAGTGCATGTGATGTAGAGACAGTTCCCCAAGGGTATCGCCGTCCTTTACTAGATGGCCTCAAGTCATTTGACACCCACATTTATCAAGGCATGTTCACTGGCAAATCTGAATTCTAAGAAATGGATTTGAAAGGAAGTCTCTGGAAAGCAGGCGCCAGGTACACATTCTTCCTAAATAATAACATCTCATTGAGGATTCAGAACCAGGGGCAGAATTCAGAAGATTGCAGAACTATCCACATGTTTTTTAAAATCAAAGATTGGTGAATATTTAATTCTTTACGTTTTTTTTTTTTTTTTTCATTACCAGTGGGACAGGTGGAAGTAAAATAGTGTGGTGTGAGGGGCAGAGGAAGAATTAGATAAAATCACTGATGGGATGATCTGCCCTGGAAGGTGTCTATTCTCGTGGACTTCTAGTTGTGGAATGTAACATTCCATGTGGATTTTGAACCAGAATGCGGATGGGGATGGAGATCAGCCTGAAAGCCAAAGAGATTCATTAAATGACTGTGTTGAGCTCGAGAATTACAGTCAAGGTTTGCAGATGTCCAGCTCTCCTCCTGATGTCCTACAGAGAGCCAGGCTTCATCTTCTATGTTTCCATGGAGCTTACCCAGAGAGGATGGGATTTTGATCTTCTATTTCTGAAAAACTTTCGTGACTCCTGAGCACCAGAGGTAACCAAATTTCTCTTTAAGAAACCTGTTAACACTGGTTGGCTCTGGGGAGCAGAACCACTGGTGGCTAAGGGTAGGAGGGAGCTTTCTCTTCCTCCCTGTATGTCTCTTAGATAACACAAAAATAAGAACACATACCTCCATGTTGTCCCACCCTGCTTCTTGAGGATAGGAAAGCAACCTGGGGCCACTTTCCCCACTCAAGACTTTAGAGCTGAAGTGAAGAGCTGGAAAAGGGATCTAAAAATTAAGAGTTGTAATGGAAAATCTTGACCAGAAGGGGGAGAGGTGTGATCCTGAACCAGAAAACAAAGCACCAGTGTAGCAGAGGAGAGAGAGCAAACTGGTAGAGAATAGACAGAGGTGTATAAGAAAAGCCAAGGACAAGAGCCTGGGGCACGATGTTGGGTAGATTCTTGGGACTACAGGATTAGCTCAAGAAGCCTGGGTGGGAAGGTGCAGTTCAGGGTTAAAATTTGTCAGCAATAAAACCGATTTGGTGGGTGGGCACATAAGGGATACTGCTTTATGAGAACTCTCCCGTCTGGGGATACTCTAGATCATGGTCTGGCCTCAGGTTTAGCAACTCTGAGCAGCCATGTATAGATGGTTTGCTGTGGATGAGTGTTAGGGCAGAAATTTTACTTCCCCAAATCTGAGCTGTCTTAGGGTCTATTATCATTTCATTGAATATTTTCCGGGAAGCCTCGCAAATGGGCAACGGGCCCCAGTAGTACCGTAGATCGACCTGACTAGTACTCAGCACAAGAGCTAAAGTAAAACATTAAGTCCTTTTCCTTATAGCTACTTGTAACAATTTGAATTCACACTCTTGATTACCTGCTTCCAGTAGCTGTGTCCAAACCCTGTCTGGGCCACCATTGCTTGTGGTACCCTATGCTCCAGCATGGTCTTGGTCCAGCATCTTTGGAAGGCTCATGCCAGCCCTGTTTACAGGACAGGAATGAGTCCAGAAATAAGTTCTCTCAGGTTGGAGATGTTGCCTAGAGATACTGTTGTAGGATCCTGGCCCTGGCTGAGGAGCATCCGATTCTCCAATAATTACCACTGAACCTAGCAAGAATTAATGAGGTTCAGCCCCAAAGTTGCAACAGCCAGGTACGGGGCCTTTGTTCCAGAAGTGCAGTGTTCCTGGTGGCAAGTGCTTGTGGGGAACCCAGAACCTCTTCTGATGTGGAAGACGTCAGATGACGTCCTGAAATAGAAAGTCTACAAATCGCTAAGTAGGTAGAAGTCTATGAGCTGTTGTTTGGTTTAAGATTTTTCTTGCACAAGATCTTTTATTTGTTGCATAAGGTGTAGGTTTAAGGGTGCCTCAAAACTGACAGGTGTTAGTTGGGAACATGCCACTTTTTGAAGGGGACAGAGATAGTGAAAGAACAGAACTAAAAATAACTGTGTTGAATAATTAAGTGCTGGGCTTCTCTCAACCAATATGGTTTACTAATCTACTAGTTCAATAATAGGAGCTTTGCATGTGAAAACCCTTGGGTAAAACAGACATTGGCTATTCCTGTGAAATGCTGTTTCTAACCATCTTCCACTGCATCTCCATCACGCATTTCTGAGATGTCTCCAGTCTATGTGGTATTACTTGGAATCCACTTGGGAAAAGTTCCACTGCATAAATCCTGGCAGAGAGGCAGAAAGAGATAAAGGAGTTCGAACTTGCAGAGAATGTTTTTTTTTTTTTTTTTTGGGGGGGGGGGGGGGGGTCTGATGGAAAAATTAGATAAATAAATGAATTATTATAAACCTAGCCACAGACTCAGGGGAAGCAATTTATAAAATAATGGCATAGTTGGGGCAGAGGAAGGGAAGCAAATTATCCCAAATTGCTCATCTTCTGCAACACTATCATCTTCCTCCAGACTTTGCTATTTCAGCCAAGAGCGCCATCATTTTCATACTGATGCAGGTTTGAAGCCTCATGCTGTTTCACCTGCTTGGGAAGCTTCCCATAATTTCCTAGCCTCCTGTCTCACCCTTCCTTATGGATCCAGTTCAGGAATCATCTCATCTGGAAGTCCACCCACCTTGTGGTGACCGTGTTTTATAACTTCACATTTTCAATGCCCAGCAGTGTTTTAAAAACTGCACGTGCTCAAAAAACACCCGACAGTGTTGGTATTAGTTATAGCTGTGTGGGAATCAGCACATGAGCAGCAGACGCCCTTAATTCAAGGTCTAGAGTATCCTCTTGTCTTCCTCCTCACACATCACAGCCTGGGCCTGAGTCTCCTCACTTATATTTTCTAGGACCAAATCCTCCTTTTCCAGCAGAGGAGTTACCCAATCGAGTGGGGGTGCGAAGCATGGGACTAATGAAACAAATCCAGCTCTTCTGTGAGAGACAGGTCTGTGAGATTAGTATGGGTGGCCAAGCCCTCAATACCGAGGGGTTCCTACTGAGTCATTTGGGCTGGATATGCCCTTAGCATTGCTCACTAGGTCGGCGTGCCACAGCCTTCTGTACCGTACCTCAGGTCCTGCCTGGGAAGCAGGCTGGAACTGTAGGCCTTCTTTTGGGGTCCTCCCAGAAGAATATGCCTTCCTGGGCACAGAAAGACTCCAGGGGGTCATGTTCCCACCTTTCAATGGTATGAACCCCTGAGTCAGGATGTTGAGAACACGGGAACAGGATAGCCACAAGCTAAGGTCTGGGCAGCAAGGAGATCCAAACTTGTTAAGCAAAAGAATTCAAGAACAAACAAGTACCAGCAGTCAACAGCCAGAAGTTCTTCAAAACTGGAGGATGGCCCAGCAGTCCAGCAAGAGTAACTGGGAGGGCTGTGACATGGGGGAAGGAATGGTAAAGACTGAAAATGGAGGGGCAGCAAAGGAAGGTGCCCAACTGTGAGGCAGCTTTCTACCTCAGGCTTGGCCACCTCACATTCCTTTCACCATGGTGTGAACCAGTCCTGAGCTGCTCTGGTGGGAAGGCTTGTTGATGATGAAGCATGCAGAAGCTGGCTGGCAGGGAAGTGGTTCTGGGGATGAGATACAGGCAGAGGTATCTCCCCGCCACCTTCACACTGGAGATGAGTCCATGTTTCAGAACTTGTTATCTTTTTCCTTACACACGAGCTATTTTTCCTAGTTTCCTTTGAAAGATCAGACCGAAAGTCAAGTTTCCCAGGCTGAGGTTCATCCTTCAAAACACCTGATAGGACTTTTGCGGAAACTTTTCTCATATTCAAGTTTTCTTTCAGAATGAGTCTAACAGTTTCTTTATCTAAATTTAACTCTTCGGCCATCATCCTCACTGTCAACCGCCTGTTTGAACAAACCAAGTCCTTGACCTTCTGAATATTTTCATCCGTCCGGTGGGTGACTGGACGGCCACTTCGGGCGTCATCTCGAACGTCTTCCCGCCCTTCTTTAAACCTTTTGTGCCAGTCGAAAACTCTGGCCCTGGACATGACTTCATCCCCATAAGCTTCTTTTAAAAGGTGGTGGGTCTCACTTGCAGACTTGTTCAATTTGACGCAAAATTTGATACTAATCCTTTGTTCTAGATAGCGGTCACTCATTCTGGCACTTAACACAGGAACGTTAAGACCACGACTGTAAGGGAAGACAGAGAAACCAATCTCTATAGGGCTGCAAGGGGAATCATGTCGCTATTAATGCTCCTCCAGAAGCCTCACCAGGGAGGAGTAATTGCTTTTCTGAGTTTTTGCCCCTCAGCTTCCGGGTCGAGGCTGGGGAGGCCTGTCCTGAGAAGCTAACCTGGCCCGAGGGCCAAAGAGAAGCTGTAAAGCTGGGGAAAATGAAATCTACACGTCTCCGTCCAACTTGTGCACGTAGATCTGCCAGGAGTGTGCCAATCAGTCAGCAAGGTCTTCCCGATTCTGCGGCCCTTAAGAGTGTATGGCGATTTCTGCAATAGAGGCCTAAGTGGTGGCAACGTAAGCAAGCAAGGAGAGATGCACCGGCGATACGACGTGCAAGCTCGCCCCAGATCTGCAAAAACCCGCGCAAGCCAAACCTACCGAAAGTGCCGGGGGCTCGCCTGCTCTAGAGTCCCGGGAGACACGCCCGCATGCGCATTACTCTCTCCTCGCGGGGTAGGTTGTGCGCAGGCGCACTGCGGCAGCCCGCGCCAGGCCTCGCCTCCGCCCCGCCACACCCCGGCCGGCGCGCTTCTTTGCGCGTGCCCGCCTGCGGAGAAGTCGGCGGAAAGGAGGGGGCGGGGGAGGAAGGCTGTGAGAAGAGAGGGCACCCCCGGGCGCCAGGGTGCATTGTGGGAAGGAGGCGGCAGCGTCCCGGGCGGGCGGGAGGTGCACCAGCGGCAGCGGCGGCGGCGGCGGTAAATCCTCCCGGCCGCTCACAGCACTGTGGAGCCGCGTCCCCAGCCCGGCCTCGGACCGCGGCGCCCCTCCTGCCCCTCGCGGCTTCTCGCCCGCCGCCCCTCCCCCCGGCGCGCCGGCCTTGCCGAGCCGGCCGGCCGGCCTGGCTCCCCTCCCCGGCCCCGACGGGCGGGCGGGCTGCCCTGAGGAGGCGGGGAGGGGAGGGCTGGGCCGGCCGGCGGGTGGGCGACGATGCCGAACTTCTGCGCTGCCCCCAACTGTACGAGGAAGAGCACGCAGTCGGACCTGGCCTTCTTCAGGTTCCCGCGGGATCCGGCCAGGTAAGCGGCGGGCGCCGAGCCGGCAGCCCGGGCCCACCTCTGCGGTGCGCACTGCCAACCGCCGGCTCCGGGGCTGCGTGGGGAGCGGGCCACGGGTCGTCGACCCCAGCCTCGGTCCCAGGTGGGGAACGGGCCTGGAGCAGCCGGCCGGCGAGCGCCCGGGGACCTCGGAGCACGTGCGCCAGCGGGGGCTCGGCGCCGAGGGCACCACCCGAACCCAGAGGCAACTGGGGCGGCGCGCGGGCGGGATGAGCTGGGTTCTCGCCCTGGTTAGCTTGCTGGGTGACCTCGGGCAGGTCGCTTTCCTCTCTAGGCTTCAGTTTCCTCAGCTGTCAAAAGAGGGACTTGGATTCTGCGGTTGTGGTCACCCCAGGGCCCTTCCTTCTTCTTGCCACCACCCCCGGGACAGTGTTTCTTTTTAGAGTCCGGGCACCTTCTTTGATCTCGTCAAGTCACAGTTACTTCCTCCATCGGGCTTGTTCACGGTTCAAATTCTGGCTCTGACCGTTACTCATTGTCTCACTTGGTTAATAATGGGGATAACGGAGGGTAGAGTGGGGGGATACGCCCACAGGCGTGGGAATTGGTATTGAAACCTCTTCCTTGAGTTAACCCACACGCTCTGGCGTCCGTTTAAAGAGTGATAGAGTAGGGACTGTGATAGTCGGAAGAATTTTCTCTGGCCTCTTGTTCATTCGTTCATTTCAAACCAGTACTTACTATGTGCCGAGCACTAGTGTTAGGTGCTGGAAATTCAGATGTGAATGAGACAGTGTTGCTGCCTGCAGGAAGCTCACAGTCTGTTAAGGAGACATACGGAAGAAGGCGATTATAATATAGCACCCTATTTATTCCACAAATATTTATTGAAGGCCTCCTGTGTGCTAGGCATTCTTCTGAGCATTGGCAGTATACAGGTGAACAAATCAAAGCCCCTGCTCTCATGAAGTTTCCATTCTAGTAGGAAAATAGACAAATAAATATGTAAATACAGTATGTTATATGGTGATAAATACTATGGAGAAAAGGCAAATGTGGGGGGGGTGAGAAATGAGTAGCAGGGGAGACACAATTGCTATTTTAAATAGGGTGGTCAAAGAAGGTCTCACTAAGAAGGAGAATTTGAGCAAAGTAGGTGAGCAGGCCAACCATGCAGGTACCTAGGGGAAGAGCTTTCTAGTCTGTGGAAACAGTAAATGCGAAGTCAGGGCATGCATGTTACAGGTACAGCCAGAAGTACATGGACAGTAGAGCTGGTTTAAGGAAGGAGGGAGAAGGGAAAAAATGAGACCAGAAAACTGTATGCATTTGTATAGTGGGGGCGAATTGTGTAGGCCATTGTAGGCCATGTAAAGCACTATGGCATTTATTCTGAGACAGGAAGTCATCCAAGGGTTTAGAGCAGAGAGACTACTTGAAACAGGATGGCTGGCTACTTGTTAAATAGGTTGTAGGGAAGCAAAGGCGAGAGCAGGAAGAGCAGCTAAAGGCAATTGCAGTAATCCAGGTTAGTAGAGGAGAAGGTGGTAAGCTGTTGTATTTGAGATACATTTTGAAGGTGAAGCCAACAGGATTTGTTAAATGGTTTAGATGGAGGTTGTAAGAGAAAAGGGGAAGAATGACTCCTTTTTTTAACCTGAGCATTTACTGAGCTGTGGAAGACTGGGAGGAGCAGCTTTGGAGGAGGCATATTAAAAGTTGGTTTGGGACGTGTGAAGTTTGAGAAGCTTGATTGATGTGCAGGAATAGATGTTTTTCTTCATACTGTGTCCAGAAACGAACTCAGGATGGCCCATATTTAGATCAGTAACCTAAATATTTTAGAGCTAAAACCGTAAAAAGATAGTCTGGAATTTAGAGACTTTCAGACTAGAGATTGTAAATATGGGTTGTTCTGAGTTTATAGAGGGTATTTAAAGCCATGCTATGGGGTTAGTAAAGGAGTAGGTCTGAGGGTTGAGCCTTGGGGCATTCCTGGTATTTAAAGTTCAGGCAGGTGAGGAAAACTAGCTCAAAAGAGTGAGGAATAGCTGTTGGGTTTTATGGGAGCAGAGAAGAGGAGCATCCGAATCTGACTGTACCTTACCCCATTAAGCATTATCTTCCTTTTACCCAAATTGTAGCCCAAGGGCATTCCTGAGAGTTTATTTAATTTGCATAATGAGGGCGCCATTAGTTGATTCTGAACCATAGATCTTTTGTATCCATATACTATAGAGAATGCTCTTTTCATTACACTCCTTGGGAGTATAGGGGTGTACAGTCTCAAATTTAGAAGTTTTTAGATCTAGTGCCATTGGTCGCCTTTGAGAATCTAAGGTAAAGACTACTGGAGAAAAGACATAGACACAATTTTGCATTCCACTATCAAGGTATTTATGGACCCTTTAGGGGCCCTGTGCGTGCCTGACAGGGGGGGTCTTTGTTGAAACACCTCCTGCTTTGTGAAGGGACATTTAAGATGTTGTAAGGGGCCCCTGGGTGACTCAGTCGGTTAAGCATCTGACTTCGGCTCAGGTCAAGATCTCAGTTTTTAAGTTTGAGCCCCGCGTTGGGCTCTGTGCTGACAGCTCAGAGCCTGGAGCCTGCTTCGGTTTCTGTCTCTCTCTCTCTCTCTCTCTCTCTCTCTGTCTCCCTCCCACTCTCTCTCTCTCTCTCTCTCTCTCTCAAAAATAAATAAAATGTTAAAAAAAATTTTTTTTAAATAGATTTTGTAAAGCTTTGGCTCTTGTTTCTTCCTTGTATTGAGTGGAAACATGCCTCCCTATAATTTATGCTTTGGAGATCCTGGTTTTATTCCCAGGGTCACACTGAGCAACTCTGTGCCCTTTTCCGTGTCAGAGCCCTTTAAATATTTCAAGACCAAATTATGAACTTTTCTTAACTCTTTTAACATCTTTATTGAGATAATAATAATGCATATACCACCCATTTAAAATGTATATTAAATGCACTCTTAATATACATTATATTTTAATGCATATTATATATTATTCAGTATATATTACGTTATTAATTTTTAAACATTTGGTAAAATACATAACATAAAATTTGCCATTTTAAGTGTATAATTCAGTGACGTTAATTACATTCACAGTGTTGTGCAATTACTATCTATTTCCAAAGCTTTCTCCATTACTCCAAGCAAAAACTTCAACTGTTAAGCAATAACTCCTTTCCTCTCCCTTCCCCACCCCCCCCATTCATCCCATTTTCAGTCTTTGTGTGTTCTGTGTACTTCATGGAAATGGAATCATATAATTGTTCTCTATATCTGGCTTATTTTAGTGGACATAATGTCATCAAGATCCTAACTTTTTATCTAAACCAAGTCTTCCCATACTAAGGATTTCAAATTCTTCTGTATTTGACAGTTTCTTTTTTACTGTGCCCAGAGTTAATTATAATAAAGAAGTAGTTTTCAGAGGTGTGTATTAAATTACTAACAGTATTTTTAGGGTTATTTATAATTAGTTTTTTTCCTGTAAATGAGTCAGAGAAGGTTGATAAAAGGTGACATTGCTAACCTATTCTTGAAAAGTTAATATTGTTAACTAACAATAAATATATTTAATGCTATTAAATAGTACATTTCCCATTTGTTATTTTTGTTACTTTGTTATTTTTTATTTTATTATTATTTTTAAAAGATTTTATTTTAAGTAGTCTCTACACCCAACATGGGGGTCAAACTCAAAACCCTGAGATCGAGTCACATGCTCCACTGACTGAGCCAGCCAGGTGCCCGTTTCCCATTTGTTATATTTATAAATTCCATGGACACTCTTATAAACAGCTATTTGAAGTAATTTAAAATTCAAAAGTGTAGTTAATAAAGGGCACAATGTGGAATTTCAAAATATAGTACCTTTTATTGGTTTAGAAAAAGTGGCATTAATGTGCTTTTTATTTTTTTATTTTAGTTTTTTTTTAATAGTTGACACAGTGTTGAACATTAGTTTCAGGTGTACAACCTAGTGATTCAACAAGTCTGTACATTACACTGTGGTCCCACAGCTGTAGCTACTGTCTGTCACCCTGCAGTGCTGTTCTAATACCATTGACTATATTTCCTATACTGTACCTTTTATCCACATTACTTATGCATTTTTTTTAACTATAAAATAATTGAATCAACTCACCTTGGGCAGGTGGTACGGAGAGCATAAATTATTTAAAATTATAGTTAAAATTTTATTTATCAGAAAGTTATTTTATTTTTTTAAATTTACATCCATATTAGTTAGCATATGGTGCAACAGTGATTTCAGGAGTAGATTCCTTAATGCCCCTTACCCATTTAGCCCATCCCCCGTCCCACAACTCTTCAGTAACCCTCTCTTTGTTCTCCATATTTAAGAATCTCTTATGTTTTGTCCCCCTCCCTGTTTTTATATTAGTTTTGCTTCCATTCCCTTATGTTCATCTGTTGTGT